TTGTTACATTTCGTAAACTTTTGTAATAATTCTAAATAGTGGAATAAAGATAATAAACTATATTGTGCTATATAACAAAAATTTTGTAAAAAAAATTAAAAATATACAAAAATTTATGAAGAAGAATGATAAAAAAATATTTAAAGCTGCAATATTTTATGTGTATCGTTTGTATAAACTAAAAAATTATAGCACTAAATTAACGTAAGCAAAAAAATCTAAACTGACACAAAAATCATTTCGATCTATTTATTTCTTAATTTACTAAGCACGAATGTGTGTGTGAAAGATACAGGAAGCTACTGAGAAGATTAAATGCAAGTAGGAGTAAAAAGGATTGATGTAACGTATCCATTTGGGTTATTGGCAAAAGTATTGAAAACGAGTATTCTATATGCGATACGTGTGCTAGTAGTAACTATAGTGGAGAAGCGTGCCAAGCCATTAAAAATAATGCATTCCAAATGCAGCAGAGACAGAATTCCCTTTTCCTCCCTTCCTTTGGTTTTTAATTGGAAAAATATATTTCTCTTACGTGCGCGTCGTTCCGCATCGTCGTTCTCTTAATACGCGACGTAATTCAATCGTACGGAACGGAAGTTCCGCCGTATTTCTGGCAGCGCTTCCGATTAATTGACTTTTTGGCAATCAGCGTTACCGAGGGTCCTCGAGAACGCTAAGTGCTCCATTTCAGCGCGATCCACCTCCCGCGAACGAGAAATCATCGAATTGTCATTCACCAGCGATGCCATTTTACCCTCGGGGGGGAAAACTATTCATAATTCACTGCTCACTCAATAGTAATTTAATAGATATAATTTTTACATTAATTCATAATAATCGTAATATAAGAATAAATAATCCTTCATATCTTAATTATTCCTAAAATAAAAAAATGTATATGAATATCTTTTTATCATGCTCAGTCCTCAGTAATAACTTGATACAACGTTATTTTACAGATTCGTTACAATTTTTTATATTGTTTAAAATATATTTGTATTTTAACACAAAGCATGTATATTTCACAAATAGCGACAAAGGACATATGTCGTTGTGTTATCTCTTTTTCGTGGGAAAACAGGAGGAAAAACTGGTTAGGACTATCAGAGCTGTGCCAATGACATCTCGGAATATACGCGGCTTTGGATAAAAGAGACAGAGAGAGAGAGAGAAAGAGAGGAGAGTAATCTGTAACTGCAATCCGCAGTTTCCTTTCCTTTCCACGCATTTACATCGAAATCCGTTCCTATATGCATACACAGTTCTTCCATCTCCTCCTTCTCTCTTTCTCTCGTAATCTCTGTGGCACCCCCTAACTCGCGCCTCTCTCCCCCAACGGAATATCCCACCTTGTCAGTCGTTTCTCTCTTTCTCTTTTCTTTCCTCTCCTCCGATTTCCACCAACACCTAGGTTTTGCGTTAATTTACACTCCTTGCTTCTTCCCCGACAGTTCCATCTCCTTTTGCGTGTCTGTCTTTGACGTTCTTTTTCCTCTGCCACGCTTTACCTTCCCAGTATCTGTGTCTATCGGCTTTCTTTAATGTCTTTTTATTATCGCTATATAGAATCAACCGTATAACAAAAGTGATGTTTTCTTTGAAACTGAACGTTTAAAAAATGCTTTAATTAATTCAATCATAATGTTTCGAGAGAAACGTTTTTAACTGCTAATAGAAATTCTTAAAATATTATTATCTAATTGGGTAGTTCTAAAGACAGTTTGTATAAAACTATAAAATAATTCTAATAAGAGAGTTACAATAAAGAAAATTGTAAAGTTGTAATAAAGTCGTAAAAAAAAAAAACATTCAGAAAGTAGTAATCTTTTTTTCTACATTAGCAGAAAACATTTTCTACATTAGCTAGAAAGTTACTTTAATTAGGCAATGAAAATACAATAAAAATAAAATGAATTTCTTTTACGACCGCTTTATCTATTAGCTATTAGCTATGCGCTTATGCGCATTCAGTTTGATGCAGAACAGTTTGATCAAAAATAAAATTTACGCGTTTGGATCACGGCACTTATCTAGATAATTAGATTCGCGATGGCCTTATCGTATAGTTTTGACTCGCAGAAGTTACTCGCGCGAATTTTGTCACCCTCCCCTCGAGGGGCGAGAACTGAGTCACACGGCCGTAATCTTTCGCATAATAAATTGTCCCAGCGGCGATATCAACGGCGAGATCAGATGCTATCGGTATTATCTGTTACGGACGAGGGGGAGGAGGGAAAGGGTAGGTGGACGACCGCGGAAATCAGTGCCGCTCTCTGCGGGCCCGCCCTAAGGGCTTTACGCGAGTTACAAATGCGGTTTTGTATCTAGCTCTCGACGGGACAAAGTAATGGGCTTAGATAATCCTGATTTAATAAATCGAACAGTTGTGAGGCGACGCGCAACGTCGGCGACGGGGGGAGGGGAAACGCGAGGGGTGGAAAGAGAGAACGACAACCGCGCGCCGCGCGCCGGTTTCCCCTCCCCCACCCCGTCTCGCAACGTGCGCGTGACTAATGCGTTCAAAAACAAGATGGATGGATCCCGGCCAGGACTTTCTTTGCATTTACATTTTCGCACTGTATCAGTCGCGACGATTTAAAGAATAACGATCGGGACGGCTTTGCGGCTATACCGCCCCAAATCGGTTTTTCATCGTTTCATCGAGAGAAAGAGATCGAATCGCGAATTGTCGACCCCATTTTTCGAAGTTAGATCCGCTCGCGCGGAGATTATCCTCTTGTCATGCAATGACTAATGCAATTTAACAACGTAAAAATAAAAGTGTTACATTATATTCTCGAAATCACGTATAAATGATATTTTATTGAAAAACTTATCTCTGATAAGTAAAACAAAAATATAGGTAATTTTTTTATTAAAGTAACAAATTGGCTGCAAATTTTTTGGTCGTTTTACAAAACGATAATTTTGATAAAACGTACATTTAGCAATTAACGGTAAGGAAGAACGGTCTTATCTTGGAAAGAAAGATGAAGTGATAAATCTTTATCTGGCAAAATGCAACATCCGCGCGGATTTCTGGAAAAATAGGACATATAGCATTTAAATTTATTAAGGGCTTAACTAAGTGCTTTATCGTCTTTAAAGTTTGTTTTAGGAAAGTAAACAGGGTCGGTACTAATAGAGAGAAACTGGGTCGGCTCGCACGATCCCGTGGGGGAGTTCGGTAAACTTAGCATCAATTTTGATTGTCCTCAGTTTCTCCGATCCATTGAACGATATCTCTGAAATTGCGAATCCTCGCGAACGGAAGGAGCTTGTTTATCACGATTGCTAAATCACAATCCCATGTAAGTAAACTCGCGCTCGGGCACCTATTTTTTTCTGCGGAATATTCGTATACCTCCATGTAATGCAAAAATTATATCAATATCATTATTCGAAAAATCGATGCGTTATTATATAATCTTGGCATTCCTCTGAAAAAGTTTTTTTCTCTGATTAAAATGTTTATCGAAAATATCTGCGTATGTGTCATCTTGGAGACAGAGAAAAGAATAAGGAGCATTGGAAAAGGATTTTTAGAAAGATCTGTGTTAGAAATCAGGAAAAATTCTTTAAAAATTGCAATTGAAGATTAAACGCGCCGCCTAATCTTTCTCCTCGCGTATCTTGCTTTCTTTCACCCTTTATCTTTTCCCCTCTCTTTCTTCCTTCATGAAGACCAACATGAAATACAAATTGGACTTTCGTTGCCGGGCCAAACTGCTTTTTTACGTCCGGCATTTGCCTGCAGTCAATCCCTGCAGATTGTCCATTCGCCTGCCTCTCCGTTATCTTAATTCCTCGAGTATTTTAATTTTCATCCGAACAACCATTAACTTTTACGGCCGGCCGTTTACTTTTTAATTCGTTTACCGCTTCGCGCCCGCGCTCGCTCGCCGGGATGCTTATATCTTTAATTTAAGCTCTCGACTTGGCGGCCATTGAACAAGCCTGCGGATTGGGGTTGGATACGGAAGAGCGGCGGTGTGGCGGCAACGGGATGGCCGGAGGAGGCGGAGGGAGGAGGGGGGAGGACGAGGGCGAAGAGGAAGAGGAGGAGTTTAGCGGGGGCCACACGCTGGCATGGATCGGGGGTGGTTTGTGGGTGCAATCGCGCTACGGTGAAGCTTCCCCGTGCTCCCCTGACACCCGTTACGTTAATTAAATACATTGTTGCGGGGACACAGACTCCTACTGTGTATCTCGAGCTTTATAGGTGCAGAGGGGCACCTTAAGTTAGCGCCGTTTCCCCCCGAAACCCCCTCCCCGGTCCCCGCGGGAGGCCAGTTGCCGATGAATTTTCTCCGGGACCTTTGCCCGTTAATTCAAATGTTATAGACGCCCGCTTGAGTCGAGGCCGGCGTATTAATCGAGAGAGGTCGAATGGACTCCGCAGGTGGGCGCGGATGTTAAAGATGTCGGGAGTCGGCTATTTCAATAATTCGCCGATCGATTCGCGTCAAAGGGTTGCTCCGCGATGGGGATTTTTACTCTCCTCGAGGGTTAATTCGTTCGCGTCGGAAATCGAATTAACGTACTTGTGTAGATTTATAGGGCCATCTCATCGCCATTTAGCATAAATGTACGAGAGATGAAATTTACTTAGAAAGACTATGACACTATCAAATCAGAATCTTTTGTAATAAAATTATTGGTATTCGATTATTGTGACGAAACACAATTGCTGCTAAAAAGATTCGGAAACCTGGATGCATCTTGTTGCACATTATATCCAAGTATCATATTTAATTTTCATATTACATACGATTTCAAGGATGTCAGCTTGGCCCAGCCTTTTAACCTCAGTTTACACTTATCGCCTTACAACTAATATAAAACTACAACATGAATATTCAATGAGCATTTTAAATTGTAATTTTCGGAGACCGATGAAATTGGGCTTGAGAACTTAACGAATGCATTGGAGAATTAAAATCGCGTTTTTAATCATGGACTTGTTAACACGGGGCGTCCGTTTTCGGATTTTCCAGGTATGGTTCCAGAATCGGCGGACGAAGTGGCGGAAGAAGCACGCGGCGGAGATGGCGACGGCGAAGCGGCGGCAGGAGGAGGTCGAGGGCGTCGTCGCCGAGGGTGAGGACGGTTGCAGTGATGCTGAGGCCGACGGCAGCAGCAGCGGCGGTGGCGGCGGTGGTGGCGGCGGCGGTGGCGGTGGCGGTGGCGGCGGCGGCGGTGGCGGCGAGACCGCCGCGAAGAGGCTGCGAAGGGAGCTCGAGCAGCAGTACAGGCATTGAGAACCGCCGGGGACGGCGGGGGTTGCCCGGGGACACGCGGGGGTGCGAAAAAAGGGAAAAGAGGGACGCGGAGGAGAAGGATAAGGCGTGGCTCGGGGGCGGCGCGTTCCGGAGGGTTTCTCGCGGCTTGTTCGGAGAACAACGCGCGTGTCGGCTCGGAAATGATCGCGGAACGACTGTACGGCGACGGAGAGAGAAGGAGAAAAACGGAGAAAGGAGAAAGAGAGTGTGTGTGTCTGTGAGAGAGAGAGAGAGAGAGAGAGAGAGAGAGAGAGATTCGTACGTACCACGAGTGTGTGTCCGCGTGTCTTTCTTCGTGATTTAGCCGGGACGCTTAACGCGGCGTCGCGAGTAACGTATTTAGTTTTCATATTGCGATGTCCGGGAAGTCGCGCGTCGTCTTCTCGCGGAAAGTGCGAGCGGAACGGTTTTAAAATTTTAATAGAGAGCAGATTGAGAATGAGAGGCACGCGTGGCGTCGATTCTTGTTTTTGAGTTACGAAGTAGAAGATTTATATGAAGAAAAGTAAAGGGGACTTACTTTCGGGTTAACTTCAGAAATGAATTTTTGCCGGAGCGAAATTTTAATTAGAGAAGTTTAATTGTCGTCTTACGTAAGGGGAAATTGATTTTCCAAAATTACGAAGGAATTCTGCAACCGAGAGGAAGCGCGCGTGATTTGGGGCATCCGTCTAGAGCAAAACGTAAGGAAAACGTAAGGGGTGAACGTGTTTCGTGATAATGCCGACTTGTTCGCAGCCGTGTCAATATAGTCGAGAACATGGCTCTTTGAAGTGAATCAATCTTTACGGTGATTGCCATTAATTTTGACCGGTTCTTACGGGCATTCCGATTCGCTGTGAGATATTGCAAATTGCGAAGCGTTGATTTTGTAGATGGCGAATTCGTCGGTGCTCGATAACGATTTAAGTAAGTACCGGCGAAACGACGATTACTTAAATCGGAATTAATCATCGGAATCATTACATTGTATAAAGCAAAATACTATTTTTTTCGTATCGATTAAAAAATGATTGTGAATACAGTGTCACAATTATTAAATAGGGAAATATTTCCGTATGAGAGGCTGAATAAAAATTTCGACGCCGTACAATGAATCTGCCATCCTACAAAATGGACCTGGCGACAATTGGAATCTAAACTACGTCCCGTTGCCAAGCTGATCTCTATGATAATTCGAAAGTATAAACGATAAAAACCACCGATTCATCGCTGATCTCGAAATGTGAAGCCAAAAATCGCTTGATTAAATTGAGCGCGTTTATCGACTCAAGGACTTTAATTAATTGCGAGCGGCCACAATGCCAATTTATTATCATAAAGTGGACTTGCTTTCGCGACGATAATACTTTACTTCAAGTTACTACCACTAATAATTACCTTGCTCCAAGAAGTAAATATGAATATAGCGTTCGGTAAATACTTTTAATTTTTTTCGCAATTTGAAATTGACCGTCGTGCAAGTATATCGTATTATATTATAAACATTTATGTTTAAATTTATATTTTTCCAAATGAGATTATCGCGAAATAGCAATTATAATCATCAATTAATCTTTTAAAATAATCGATATGCCTTGTCGATGAACGCCCGATTGGAACTCGCGTGCGTCTGCCGATTTAAAATCGGCTTGGCTAAAAGCGTCACATGACAACTCCGTTGCCCCGAATTGCGCGTCGTGTTTGGCAGGAGAAAATATAAGCAACCAAATATCGTTAACCACCTTCTGGATCGCGACGTGTTACCGTCCCCAAAATCTCTCAATCGCGTGTGCATATTTAGTCTGTATAGCTGCGAGAGCATGGCATACGGAGGAATCGATAGGAAGGGTTTGCCGAGCTGCTTATGCGATGGCAGATTAGTCGCCGGGAGAGGGGGAGGTGGTGGAGGAGGAGGAGGAGGAAGGGGCCTTTGTTATCCATCCGACAAACAAACGCACGGCAAATATGGTAAACAACGCACGCGACGTAACGTCAGCCCCCGTCAAGAAGGTGTTAATGGATAACCATAAATCCAAGGGCCCAGCAATCTGCATCGTCGTTCTAAACTAGTCGACTCGTCACCGGGAAAGGTATTAATTCCTCCGATTGAATAAAATAATTGTACGTGAGTACGCTGGACTAAAAAAAAAAAATGTCCCCGAAAAATACTTGCTGCGTCACGAACACGCGATTGATCAGAAAATAAATCAAATATTTCGGATTTACGAACAAAGACATGCTGCTTTACAAAGGGGTAACCAGTGGCCCTTTAACATCCGGCGTCGCTTAATAAAATTATCTATCTACGAAACGTGAAACATCTTTCACATTTTATGGAAAAATATTAGATATAATTTGGCAACCTTCCAATCGCGTGTCGAGCGGCACCGAGATTGTAACTCAAACAGCGCGAAGACAAGACAATTTAATCAAGCGCACTGAATTAACGATCTTGCTGTCAACAAATAAAGATCGTTTGCCTCTGTTCGGGAAGCGTTTCCCCGAAAGGAATTCATTATATTTATTAAATTATTGCGCTCTGCGCAAGTCAACCGAAGGCGCGTCCCCTTGTTCGACAAGTTGGAAATTGTTAAAAAAAGTTAGTTCATTTGTCTTTGTATAGGAATTTTATTCTTTACGTACAAATATTTATTTATTTGCCTAAACTGCCAGACGAAGATTTCCTTGCCTTGTTTTCATCTTTATTCGTCTGTAAGTTACGGTGAAAAGTCGCGGGTTTCGAAAGAAGAAAAACCGTGAAAGAAAAAAATAATGTATATCCGAGAAGTGAATGCGGGAATTTCGAACAAGTTCGAATGAACTTTGCGCGTCGACGGATCGCGCAGAAATGGACTTTGTATATTATGTAGATATACGATAAACGTGAATGTGATATCTAACGTATTTAATACGGCGTTCGGTCTAGGCGCGTAAGTGAAGTAAGTAGGTATATCGTCTTGTAGACTAAAATAAAATGCAGAGGAATAGGAGAATATATATATATATAAATACATACATACAAATATATATAAATCGCACGTGGCGTGCGTCTAAACTCGTAAAACTCTGGCTCTGTTTTTTTCAGCTGCACTTCCTTACATTTTCCGCATTTAAAATGAGACAGGTGTATATTCGGGCTTTCGAGGGGCGGGAGGGGAAAGAGGGCGAGGGGAGGGGGAGAGAAGGGAGGGAAAAGGAAAACAAAGTGAAGTAAAAGTGCAACTAAAAAGAACGAACCTTCTGTATTCTTGCCGCAGGTTAGCGCTAAATATGATTACCTGATCCCAAGCGCTTTCGCCCGAGAGATACAAGGATACGTTATTTTAACAGAATATACTGAACTCTGGCTTATACAGCGTAGAAGATTTTACACGCTTTAATAATTGCTTACTAAAATTCTTACATTTTGGGCGAATAAATATGAAGGTATCGCCTTGATCGAGCATTTGTGCCAAAGTGTAACTTTTATTATGATATAATGTCTTTTTTATAGAGCGATTAAACGCGTTGAATTTCAAGCTCGACTTATCGCCGAAGCTTCTTCTCAGATTAGAAAGAAAAGAAAAATGGATTTTTTTGCGTGTAAACGCCGCGGGCTGCCTTTTTTAGTCTAACATGCGGCGAGAATGCACAAGCCATGTAGAACTTGATAAGCGGTAATCGCTGTGTTCAAAAAGAAATTCGGCAGCGGGCAGGGCCCCTGTAGGGGCGAGAGGAGGGTTCAAGAAACGTTTTCCGAGCGCATCAGAAAAAGAGGAAAAAAAAGAAGAAAGGAAAGAAGAACGCTTCGCTACTTCGCGCGCTGTGACTAATCGAGCGATCGTTTCCTAAAAAAAAAAAAAAAGGCGCATCCTAAGTCTCTTGTAACGTCTATCGAGTATCCGACAACACACACACATACATTGCTGTACAGTAAACCTAGGTAAATTGTTAATGGACGAGAGGTAGAGACAATCTGTATAAAATACTGTATAAATTATACATACGTGTTATCTATCGCTTGTGTATTATATCTCCAATTTAATAAATGGAACACGTATTATGGTATAATTGTAGAATTATATTATATATCTCGTAATGCGTTCACTTCATTTAGTTCCCCGTTCCCCATCCCCGGCTCCTCGATTATCGCACGTGCAATTTTCAGCTCCGTGCGTTGAAATCGTTGTAATCAATATACGTTTTCGTTCGATCAAAATTCATTTAGCTTTAAAAAACGGCTACGTAAATGTTTGATTGTAAATAATGAGATTAAAGGAAAACGTTAAAATAATATTCGTTCGTTGTACGCGATTTAATAAAATATCCATTATCAAAGTGGTTGATTTCTTTACGTCAAATTCCGTTCTATAATGATGATGAAGTTTTTCGGAGAAACGTGACAATGTTATATCGACAAACGTTGTACGCGTGCACTTATCGAATTAACGTAGGAAATAAAGAGGATGGGGTCAAAATAAAATTTGCACAGAAATGAAGAAGCACAAAATATGTAAATTACTCACATGCGATGACCACCAGATTACTAGATTCGCGCTTCCGAACAGATTTTCCGGTCTTCCTTCACGATATATATTCTCCTTTCATCGATCTTCCTTCATTCGTCACATCTGAAAGCAGTAAATATGTTAGAATAAATTTTGCATTTTATTATTTATTACAACGTCATACATATCGATTGTCCTTCCTGGCTTGGCTGTAATGCGCGACACAAAACTACGTGAAATGATATAATAAATATGATGGAAAGAGAGAGAGAGAGAGAGAAATAAATCGTTTTATCTTAATATATGCGTGATGCGGCTCTGTCGAGCCCTTTTTGTTATCCCTCGCACGCAACTTTAGCGCACAGACGCGATATACTGTTAATTGGTACCTCCGTATTCTGATTAAATCGCGGTTACAACGCAATCTCGCGCGTAACTCGCGCTATATGAAGCCGCGTATCCGTGTCTGGCGGAATTATTTGCAACTTAGTCCCGGGCGATCGCCGTGTAGTTCGCGAGTGCGCCCGGAGGAAGAGCATTAGTGCGCAATTAATCGGTCATCGCGCGAGGCAGAGAGGCGGCGAGGGAAGCGGGGAGGGGGACGAGAAAGGAGAGAGGAAGAGATGTAAAAAAAAATTTGAATAAAGGAAGTGATTTCCTAGAACGAATTTCTAGAAGGATGTTCTTGCTTCTTGCGAGCGAAAGGTAAATTAGCTGCCCCCCCCCCCAAAAAAAATTAACATTTTTCTCGAAATAATCGGCCTGCTACCTTACATATGACTCTATGAATGTACGTATGATTTATTGCAGTAATTAATTTTATACGCATGATATTAATTAATTGAATCTATTCTGAAAAACTAAACTCCTATAACCTAATAAACGCTATATACATTGCAGATGGGAGATCCATTTTTAATATAATTGATATACATCGTTCGTATGCTGAATAATTTTAAATTTATATATAGCGCTATTAAGATTTTTAAATTATTGATTGTACGTCAATATAATTTTCAACATGCAATGAACAAATGAACAAGATTCTACAAACGCGTATTTCTTTGAATCATAAAATTATTTTATGTGCGTATATATGAATACAGCGAATCACTTTTACGAGTATATGTATATTAATACACATATACTGTATACATACCATATTTATACATACAACACTCTGCAGAATTGCAGAAACATATTCTTGGAGAGAGTTCAGTGTGTCGTAGATATCTATATACTTACAGAAGTTACACAATTTGCGTAAAAATTTTGCGCAAAAGTGCTAATTCCGTTTAAATACATATAATGATTCCTTGAGAATCTTGGCATGTTTATTGGATTCTACATAAAAAGCGACGCGACGCTCATTAAAATAAGATGGTTTCCGCGCGTCGATCCTTGAAAATTCCGAGAGCTTTCGAAGTGTTCGACGGGACGAGATGGTTTCACGGTGTAAAAATAGCGTCTACTTCCGGGCTGCGTTCAGAAACTTCGCCCAGGTGCCTATATATCATTTTATCCTTGTTTAACATTCCGTGAATAGTACAAGGATAAAATAATATATCATGAATTCTTGAAAGCACCCCTGCTATTCGCTTTGGTACTTACAGTGCAAGCGCTCGCAGCATCACTTCATCCTTGCTGTTTATCAATAAATGTTACAGGACCAATGATGCTCGCAAGCGCTGCAAGCGTCAAACCAAACGCAGCAGAAGTAGACGATTATGTGTTTTTACGTCGTGAAATCGCCTCGCCCCGTCGAACACTTCGATCGACGATCGAGTTCGTGATACTTATTGGATATTTACCTGGAAATCAAACCTAGCGATCAGTACCGGCACGCGAGGCCGGAAACGCGAACCGTGACAATCACGGCAACCGCGAGGACTCCGGACTCTCCGGAGCCCGGAACTAGTCTGTGTGTGCGCTCTTCGATCCGTCCATTTCTAGATCCGGAACGCTCCACGAAAGTCACTGCGAGCGCCATCTGTGCGCGGCGCCGTGAACTACGTCCGATTAAACCTGACTCCAACTACTTGACGTAAGTGGAACAACTCGATTATATCACGCGACTCTTTTTACCGCTAGTTCTTGAAACATTTTTAATAATTACATTATTAAATATCAAATCATTTTTCAAGCATTTTAATTATGTTACTAAATCTAAAACTATTGACATACAATCAATAATTGAAAAATCTGATAGCGCTATATGTAAATTTAAAATGAAATTATTGATCATGGCATACGAAACGATGTCAATTAATTATTGTATTAAAAATGGATTTCTCTGCAATGTAGCGTTTATTGGATTAAGAGTTTAGTTTTTCAGAATAAATTTAATTAATTAATATTTATCTAATTAACAACAAAATATAATAAATATATATATATATATGTTTAGCCAAAGAGAGACGCTAAATGTCATTTTAATTGTTATTAAATCAAAAATTAATTGGCATACAATCAATAATTAAAAAATCTTGATAGCGCTATATATAAATTTAAAATGAAATTATTTAGCATACAAACGAAAATAGATCTTTCTGCATTATGTAGCGTTTAATTAGATTAGAAGTTTATAATTTCTCAGAATAAATTTAATTAATTAATATTTATCTAATTAACAACAAAATATAATAAGTATATATATGTTCGGCCAAAGAGAAACGCTAAATGTCATTTTAATTATGTTATTAAATCAAAAACTAATTGGCATACAATCAATAATTAAAAAATCTTGATAGCGCTATATATAAATTTAAAATGAAATTATTCAGCATACGAACGAAAATAGATCTCTCTGCAATATGCAGCGTTTATTAGATTAGAAGTTCGCATAGTTTCTAGAATAAATTTAATTAATTAATATTTATCTAATTAACAACAAAATACAATAAGTATATATATGTTCGGCCAAAGAGAAACGCTAAATGTCATTTTAATTATGTTATTAAATCAAAAACTATTGGCATACAATCGATAATTAAAAAATCTCTGATAGCGCTATATATAAATTTAAAATGAAATTATTCAGCATATGAACAAAAATAGATCTTTCTGCAATGTAGCGTTTATTAAATTAGGAGTTTATAGTTTAATTTCAGAATAAATTAATTCAATTAATATTGATCTAATTAGCAACAAAATAAATATATGTTTGACCAAAGAGAGAAGCTAGAGGTAGAAGCATAGAGCTAAGTCATTAGAAAAGTTGTTAATTTTTCTAAATATCGATTTATCCGAAAAAAGACCACAGAAGAAAAAAATGCTTCTAATGTTCCCTCCTTAGAGATCATATATTTTAAAGGCATGGCGCGCAGATATAGTGATACATAATTGTTTAAGAAGAAACTGGAGCGCGAATGAAGCCTCCTTTAATTAAACGGGAGAACATCGTGAGCACGGCGTTTACGCGCAAAAGTCTCTCTCCGTCCTCGGCCGTCCTCAGCGGCAGAGGATCTACGTGCAACCCCCGGGGGTGATTCTCCTTTTTCGCCGCCGCGACGGTCTGGGGAAACGGAAAGAAACACTCGTAAACAGGCGGCGGGGTGGACCGCTCACCCTCGCGGCCTCGACGTATCGATTTCGGATAAGCACGGTGATTAATGTTAACGAGAGTTTTTGCGACTCGTAAAGTGTGTCGGCACACGTAAAACGCGCGCGATCCTTACGTCGCCCCCTGCTCCCACCCACCCCTATAACGCGGGGGGAGAAGTTCTCGGCCTCCTCTATATAGGACGGGGTTGCAGCCCCCGCGGCGCGGCGTATCGGCGCTGTAAATTTATCGCGGCGTTAAGCCGTTAATATTTGCCCGCCTTCTCGGGCGCGACCGGGCCTTAAATCAATGGGAAATATTCCTAATTGGAATATGGAAAAAGTTGGGCCGCGAGCGCGCCGCACCCGCGACACGACGACGACGACACGGGTGGAGAGAGGAAAGGGACCGGGGTAGGAGGGGGGAGGGTGCCCCCGAGGGAGAGAGTCCCGTATTAAAGGATAAAAGAATATAAATTGTCCCGTGGAGGGCGGGCGGGGCAGAGAGACCGAGAAAAACGGCGAGAAGTTTCCGATTAAGGCTCGGGATCGCGTCCAGGACGTGTATTGAACTACAGATTGCGCGGCAGATTATTAACGACGCGCGAAAGTTCGGCACTTTCGGGCGCGAGGGGTGGCCCGATGCTAATTGCGACGGCCGCGGGTCTGTGCCGGAGCGAGTATACGAATTTGCGAATTGCCACGCGGACGGGCCAACTTCGCCGAAAACAACGTCGATCGTAGTGCAGCGGTACAATTAATTAGTATTTAATTATAGCAGAATGGATATACGACGGACAGACGTCGTGCCTTCACATTTTACGTAGGTATATACGCGGAGACTCGCGCGAGACGGGCAGTTTAATTTTCATGTTCCATGGATGTTTTTTTTATTAAAGCGAAGATTATTTTGCCTTAATTTCTAATTGTACAATTCTTTTATAATTATTTAATTATAAAATTTAATTAGGCGTCAATTTATATTGCAATATACATTATGGATTTTTATATGCTTTATTAATATATTTTGTGAAATTGGATTTTTTTCGAAGCTGGAAGCTGACAAGAATAAAGTAATTAATTGGAAATACGTATATTCGCGTTGAAAAAATTCTATAATTCAAAGAAAGAATGCAGTCAAACAATATGCCTACCTAATCATAATAGGGACATTTTAATGCATATTAAAAATGCAAATACGACGAAGAGAATAGCATTAATACAATAAACATAAGTAGAAATAATCGTTCAATCGTCTATAAATTAAAATTCTGATATCTCTCACGTGAATGGAACGATAACTAAAAGATTGAAGGTAGCACGCTGAAATAGTCAAAGGAATTGTTTGATATAAGTATATCTCGTCGCTTCTTAAAACACGTTTTAATTACATTAGTGTTCTTAAATAGTAACGCAAACGACACCGCGAACTTTTCGGATATTTTGAGCATTCGCAATGGCTGATCGCAGTACTTTATCATGAACACTCGGTGTTCGCAATGGCTGATTCGTGTCTTTGAAAATATTAGCACAGCATATCTCACGATCAAAACACAGAAGGGTAAAGCATTACGTATACGTGCTTTCTTGTAAAAGAATACGGGTAAATTTAAAGAAACAGAGATACATTGCACAAAATTGTAATGTTATTGACGTTGTCCTTTGACACTTTAGATGTATATTACCTCATGAATAATCATAATAATAATATAATTATGATATGGCAATAATAAAATCATGATATGAGTTGCGTAATGAACTAGCGAGTTGCCGCAAGATTCTTCTAATCTAGCTTTTGCGAGCGCAAGTTGCTTTCACATTCTGTATCAATATGTATGGCAGATACATAAAAGTATTCGAGGATTGTTATGTGTACATATTTTATTCGTGGGAATACAACTCATATATACAAATTATGTCATATAATTATATATATGAACGTGTTGCCATGAAGTGTGAAAGCAGTTCGTACTTGCAAAGAATATGATGTTACGTACAGCCTTCACTGAAATGTGATGTATAGAAATATTACATTTATGACTAATTACAAATTTCTTTGGGCTGCTCGAAGCCAATTTACATACACATGAATACAAGTTCATACGTAACGGAATCCTACTCAACTTTTCTTTCTTTTTTTTTTTAAGAAGCGTACGTTTCAACGAAGCGCTTTGCTTCACGTACAAAACGGTACGTTGCGACAATACTGGCAGCGCAGCAAAGAAGGCAGTCAGTGTGCTGCTAATCCATCTAAACCGCATACGACGTATGCATTATTTTTTATCTATGTTAAACGCTATTGATGATGACTGATCGAAAACCATTTGTGCAAAATATGTGATTGAACAGAAAACATATTTTTAACAGATGGATTCCAAAATCGAATAAATTCCTCGAAAATGTATGTCTAAGTTACTCGATAAGGCAAGGAACTATGGCCCCTTCCGCCTCGTTTTGATATACAAGACAAGAGTGACGGTCCGGCTACAATTATACAATAATACAAGGCGTCTTTTTATCAAACGAACGTAATGTAATACGACTAATGTTACCTATGTTAATATAATTATACAAAGCTATACACATATTAAAATATTCTCGGGTACAATTATACCTTTTGCTTTATCCCCTAAAGCGACAGACTGCGGAGATGCAGAAAAATCGCCATACGTATTTACATGTTTTCAATGAATGCCGGCACCGATGAAGCTTTCATTCGTCACTACTAGCCCCTATACGTTTTGCTCGCGCATAGGAGATTTATCATACAAAATATATAACCGCTTTTAATATCTACAGAGCGAAAATCATATTCCCGTTGTGTGTACTCTTTCCCCTTAAGTAATATCACACTGAAGACTTTCGTCATAATTGAATCTTGATTATATCCGCGGCCGTGTCCTCATACTACATGATCGTGTTGGGAAATGACGTATAAAACAATAAATAGGCACTCGTGTTTTGAGACTTCACTTGGCTCGGCGACACCTCCGTGACAGTTTGATCATCGTACTTGTACCATCTGCAAATGCGCATTATCGCATTAGAACAATGTCGTAAAAAGTTATGTTGTTTCTGATTAGGGTGATTTGCTTCGAAGGCCCCGACATTCGAACTTCGAAGCTTCGACATTAAAATCTTCGAATTCTTTCGAAGTTTCGAAAAATACATTTGTGCAAATGATAAATTTATTCAGAAAATTTACAAATATTGTAAATAAAAAGAATTAATACATATACGAAATTATCGCTAAAAAATTTGAAAGTATTGTAACCTGAAGTATTACAAATTAATAATTAAATTTGATAGATGTGTGAATAAGGAAAGATAATGATCAATAAAGCAATCCAATTAAGAAAATTCAAATTTTTAATGTATTTTTCAAAACTTCGAAATTTCGAAGGCATCTTAAAATTCTAAAGGTCGAAGTTAACATCGAAGCTTCGAATATTCGAAGTAATATTCGAAGTAATATTCGAGTAAAAAGTAACTAGCCCTATTTCTGATGCGGAAGAATTCCTATTGAAAAATAGCGCGTGTATGTGTCATACGTACTTATTTTGAGTAGCATTTTTGCAAAATGCCGTGTAGTGGCCGCCGTCCATCGTCCCATAGTGATTTGATATCGCGTAGAGACTGTAATTGTAATTACGAATATTGTTCGACATGATCGCCTTCGGGTTCTCCGTGACGAGGTACGGCCTCAAGTTGAATCCCGTGAGGGGAAAGTCGACGGCGGTGTTGCGCTTTTCCAGCCATCCGCCGCTCTCGGCGAAGCGGTTCAAGTGTATCACGACGATGGGCGCGAGTTTGACGAAATCGAACTTTTTCGTCGCGTCGCGCGGTGTCTGACACTTGGGACACTTCCATCCGCTCACTTTCTGTCCTATTACAAACTTTTCCATGCAATCCTGAAATAATATTAAAAAAATTATTTTCGTATAAAACAAACAATTGCCAAAACACATCCTTTTATTTCAAGTTTAGTTGATTTAATCATTTATATTATATTATGCTTACATATAAAAAAAGAGGAAAAGAGAAGTAAAAAAAATTATATTATTCAAATAATTGTACGATATCAGAAAATACTTACATTTAAAGTACACCGATTAGACTGAGATAAAGACATTGTTAAACTATTAAATGTCTCGTATGTAGTACTCGCTTGCTTGCAAAATGAACATGTAATGGTGGATCTTAATTGTCCGAAAAACAAATCTGATATTATAGATCTCTGAGAATTCATCGCTTTGTCCCACTCCTTCTCCGCGTTGGTCATTTCAATCGGCACTTTCACGTCCTACGAGCAAGAGGACAATTTTAGTACTTAATATTTATTTTAAAATTAATTTTCTAATTACTCTTCAAATTTTTACCTTTTTAAGATCATTATGCATCCAGTCTAACAAGAACGTGAGGAATTCGTGAGAATCTTGTTGCTCGTAACTTTCAAATTGTAATTTGTATTGACCAACTGCAACCTGCAATAACAATAATTAATTCAATGTCAATTGAAAAAATTAGCACTTGGCACTTTACGAATAAGATCTACAAACTGAAGTACCTTTAGGTCGTGAGGAGATATGCTTTTGTACTGACCCCTCCAGAGCGCTTTAATTACTTGAGCCACTTCCTCCACTACTTGGCCTTGTGTCATATTGTCATTACTCGTGTTGAGATCATCAGCATACGAATTATCAGTAAAATATTTCGCTAAGTTCGTCGTGTTACTCAGGCACTGTATGATGCTGTTCATGTAACAAGAATTGCCCAAGTTCTTCAGGCCAGTTATACCCGGATGCTGCAAGTACAAGGAGGCGCTATTTTTACGCTGATAAATCATGTTAACAATTGCATATAATTATGCATGGTAGTTATACACGACATACACACACACATACCCCCCCATGTGTTATAATAAGAGAAAGTATAGATATATTAATCAGAATTTTCCGTTGGAAGATTTCAACGTTTAAATTTTATTTAGCTCGTCTCTTGTACACGATACTCCAATTATATCTGTTTAAACGCCAGGCATATTAAAAATTTTTAAACAAACTTTTCGTGGTAATATATTTGCATATATATATATATATATAATTCTTTCAAAAATTTATTTTTACAACAAAAATTGCGTTAGTAACTCTTTCTCAAACAGTGGAATTCGCAGTTGTAGAACTATACTATTTGCTTTCCGTGTAACGTAATTAAGCATATCGTCGAGTGGTATCGATCTATTTACATCAACATGCGATGGTCAACCAAACCTTATAACGCATTCTGACGTATTTAAATATTGTAGAATGACGTACAGACCAATCTGTCGTTTGTTATTTCTTAATATATGGCATTAATTAATTAATTATTTCTTAATGCATGGCATTTAAAACATTCTATTAAGAAATTATGGATGAGCTTAGTATTTATTAAATATTCATTAAATTGTATTAATTTCATAATAACTATGTATAAATTTATAAGCATGTATAAATTTATAAGCATTAATAAAAATATTCAACTAGATGTGATAAATAATTTTTAAAGGAACTAGAGATGCTCAATCATTATTACATATTACAAAATTATGAAAAAAGAACAATTTTTTATCACCTCTGTCAGAATTATTTAAAAATTAATGCAAAATTGTGTTGTTCCATTGTCTATATTACCTTTTTAAAATAATTAAGCAATAGTAACGGAATGAATCTTCTTTGAAGATAAACCATTGTCTCTATCATTCTTCACTGCACCAACGAAAAATTATTTTATCACGAGATAGTAAGCGTTATATCCACACGCATGTTTGACTATATTATCGTGCATCGAATTACAATTGAACATTATATCAACATGTTGTTGCGAGCTGACGAATGAATGAATCGTAAGTAGCCAGTAGCAAATATATATCAATATAATGTAAATGTTAATGACGGACACACACACACACACATACGTAAAACACACACAATACGGATCTCCTTGGATTAATTAATGTTTCATTGTAATCAACTTTTAATTGTAAGAAATGCCACTTCATAGCGCATAAAAAAAAAATCGCGCGGATATATTCGGGAGGGAACACCTCCAACAGATGATCTTCAATCTGGCAAAATGTCGCGCTCGGGTACTGGCGCGTATTTGTCGTAGCACTAATTGTCGGAAGTTTGTCTGTGGATTGGATTGAGAAACCCCACGTGTGTTAAGTCAGTCCGCGCGTGTACACGTGCGCGTACATTCATTTATGATATTATATTATACGTGACACGTGCTTTATGAATTACGAGGTTTCCTCGCGGCCAGAAGTCATTAGATGCATATCAACCGACCTCTTATTGACTTTCGCGCTGAGTTAACTTGGAACGCTCACTCTCTGATCTGAGATTTTTAATAAGGAATTAAATAAAATTGAAATTAATTCTCGAACTTTCAAACGTAATGTTGAATATGTGAAAAATTATACGCATAAAATTCTGTCTAAGGTCTTAAACTAATACTGTGTTAATAGCAAACAGCGCCGTATTCCTATTCGCGAGTCACACTGTTATTATCATGCCGATATCACTCGCAGCTCAATATCATACACGTGACTTATATAGCCAAGCGTTATGTGAAATGGAAGACTGAGAATCCAACACCGTAAGCCTTTCTGATCGTTTGAAACTGGACCAGTTCGTCTCCGAATGTCGCGAAAACGAAATGTAATGAAAGCGAAAGCTGAGTGACAATATTCGCATGTAGGATCGTATCAGCAATTTTGCCGGAAAGCGCCCGTACAAATCTTGTCTCCGAATAAGTACTTACAACAGAGCCGTGAATAGGGGTCATTCGTTCCTCCCGATTTCCCCAACTAAGAGAAGACACTTTGATGTTCTCATTGCCAATTCCCAATCCATTCTGATTTCGAGGCGAAATATGTGGCTTAGAAGTTCTATCTATCTGAGGTGCTTTACGATCTCCCAACTAATGGAATTATGTAATTATGCGATTGCCATTTTAAATAGATAAACGAAAAAAAAAAGAAACGGATTGTAAGATTTTTTTAGCGCGGGGTTCTTCGTACCTGCAGCAGATTTGGACTCGAGTAAGAGCGCTCCAAGCCGGTGTTAATGGATGAACCTCCGTCCGTCTTCAAGGGTTCCTTGTGAACGTCACTGTCATTTTGCTTCATTATCTCCTTGTGCTCTCTTTGCAGGAATTCTCTATAATCACACAACGTAATATGAATTAAAACAGGAAATGGATTACAAAATGGAAATTTCATTTTAATATGTAACATTTTAATGGGGATACAAGCCATCGATAAAAGATACCTCATTCTCAAAAATAGATGGAATCGAACACTGTATTTGGAATCGAATATTTGGTGAAGAAGAAACAACGTTATTAATTTAAGCATGATGAAATTCACTTATTTAATAATTTAATTTCACTAGCTTTTGATTGTATAACGCAGTGAAACAAAATGCGATAGAAACTATCACAGTTTTCTCAATTTCTTCTTTTTAATTATTTAAAACTATATTTTATACTCCACTCCCCTCCGGAAAAGTAATAATTTTCAATAACATCCTGGTTTTTAAATTTCTGCAAATTCTTCTTCAGTCTTTTACTTATAATCGACCACGTTTCTATCCTTAAAAACCTTCTTTTTTTTTAATTAACACTCGCTTTTAATTGACACTCGCTGCCATCATGACAGCAATGATTTGACTATAAGCAATGACGGTGAAAGTTTGAATGGAAAAATGCCTAATCACAAATATTTAAGAGTGATCACAAAAAAACAAATATTAGTGCCGTTAGAAATATTCAAAAAATCTTAGAAATTTGAGCAGTCTTCCCCGATGCAACTCCATAAGAGTTAAGAATTTTAAGAATTTAGAAAAATGATAACCTGTCTTCTATTTTTAAATGGCTTGGCTTGTAGATTTTAGCCATAGAAAAATCTACTTTAAGGACAAAAACATGATCAACCAATGGGCATTAGGTTATTCTTAGCATACGCTATTCTTTATATTCGAATGACTATTATGCTATAATTTAAGTGTATCCATTTCTTTCAATATTCTTCAATATTTCTTATTGCACAGAAGAGATTTAATTTCTCGCAAATTTTTTATTAAATATTAATAAAAATTTATTTTATACCTAACTCACAAATTTTTTATAAATATAAATATAAACATGCATTCTGCGCAATAAGAAGCTAATCAATCGTCTAAAATAAGAATAATAGATACGTGAAAAATGTAATAATCGGTTACTGCATTATCGATGATTTGTATTGGCCTTTTTTTTATTATTGTTAACACATTGATTGCCAAAGTAACTTATAGTTGATAAGTTACATATAGATGCCAACGATTCGAGTTTTTTTTTTTTGGAAGGAAATAAAAATTATTACGAGTTTTGTGATAAAAAATAAATATTAAGTAGCATATTAATTGTACAGTGGCAGTCAACGTATTAAAATATATTAGGGTTTTCATATAATATTAATCAAATATATTTACTCCTGTAATTTTTTCCTTTTGGTTTCAATGTCCTTGAGTTCGTTCTTCGTCAAAGAGAGAGTAAATTCAAGGTTCTTCTTTTCATGGTCGTCAGTTTGATTGAATTTAATCGTATCCGTACAATTTTCTTCCGAATATGTCTTATACTCATTTTCAACTTTGAGATACATTTTGTGCTGCAACACAAATGATAAAAATTTTCGAATTTATCATAATTTATAGCTCTTGCACGCCGTCTAGCGGTCTTGAAGCGTATTATCGAAAACAAATAAATAAGTACCATGTCCTCCAGTTTAACTTTCAGAGATTTTATCTCCGATTGCAGATACCTCTCATCGCTGGCACTGTACTTCTCCTCACGCTGCGAATAAAGCTCGTATTCCTGGCCCAACAATTCATTGGCGAGCTTCGACTTCGATCTCGCCAGTTCGGTCAACTCTTTCATGTACCTCAATACTTCCTTACACCGCGGATCGTGCGCCTTCAAGGTGGTCGGTTTACTGCTGCGATCGATCACCGGTTTCGCGCTCACTTCGCTTTGCGGTACTTTGTTCAACGATACCCTAGGCTGAGCTATCACTGGATGTTCCGGACTTCCCAACTTCCCGTTCGCACCGTCGCCTCGAGACGGCCGTTTGTCGTCGATCGATATCGTCACGTGAGTGACGAAATTCTTCGACTTGGCTGAAGAAACGGTGTCGTTGCTGTTCGACCTGGCGTGCCTGGACGTCGCCGACTTGTTATTGTCACCGTGATCCATCTCCACGTCCTTGATAAAGCCGCTCACGTTATTAAATTCGTTCTTCGTTCGTTGCTTCTCCATGTTCTCGTCTTCCGGGTCGGAGTTGACGTAATCGGGATACTCAAACGACTCTAAAATCTTCTCGTCGAATTCGACGTACTTGATCTCGGGCATCTGGATGTTGGGATTCGTTGTAAATGCCGGATACCGCTCGAGCCACGCCTGGTATCCCCCGTTCAGAATCTTAATCCTCTTGTGATCCGTGCCTGGATCCCACTTCTCGAAAATATTCTTCAGCACGTTTACATGAGTGTAGGGCGTCAGAGTGTCCTGTGTACTGTTCCAGTCTAGCAGGATAAGAACATCTGTGTTCCGCGACGATCGATTGACAAACAAGTCGTAAGAGTGCTTGTCGTTTGCGAGATACTTTTCAAAGTAAGAGGCCAGTAACCTGAAAGCAAACGATGCATCGTGAGAAATTAATATGTTAAAGAGGATTCCCAGAAATAATCGAACGATAAAAATTTCGTAGGCTAATGGGAATCGGCGTGGTAATTGGTGCGCAAAGTTAAACAGGAAATAATTAATGTATAATTTCATAATGAGTATATAAATATATTTCCAAACGTTTCAGTCGGTGACACGTCGATGAAACGTACAGTCGGTACTGATTTGACCCATGATTGTGCCAACGTTTCATTTGAAATCTTGACTCTTGGAAGTACAGACATGTTTAACATCTATTACAATTTATGTAATTATTAACATCTATTACGATTTTAATGTGTGATTGAGATATTAGTTAACATATACATTTACTTCTGATTTTTCGGTGAGTTATTTCATTTATCTGTTTTAATATTGACCACTGTAAATTTACTTTAAATAGCTGAACAACAGATATAATTTATTCGTCTCTATATAAGTCCTTATGGTAGTCCTTATATAACTTGCGGATTTTAGAAATTTAAATGGCAAATAGATCCAGTGTTCTTACATTCGTCATTATGGAAGCCCACTTTTGAACAATCATAAGACCGCCACATTGTAATTCACGTATCACTGAGGATGGCCTAAAGGACGGCCGAAACATTTGGAAATATATTTATACATGCCTTATGAAATTAACGTTAATTATTCCTGTTTAACTTTGAGCACCAAATTACCGCGCCAATTCCCATTAGCCTACGATATTTTTATTGTTAAATTAAGAGAGACACAAATGGAGTTGCATGATAAAGAAAAAAGAGATATAGGGAAGATTGCACGAAAATGCTTCGCTCACCCTGTTTTAATTTCAGACTGTGGAATGTTGATGCATCTGTCGGACGACATCCTGGAACTTTCGTAATGGGCCTTCTGCCTAGTGTCAATAATCAGGTATTTGACACACGACTTTTGTATTAACTGGTACAACTGAATGCACGTTATGAACTTGTCGCAATCGCTACGTAGGCTAATATACAAAGGGTCCTCGGTCGGTATTTCTGGCAATTTCAAACCAATGTCACTGTTCGGCGCCTCCCGCTCGTCCGTCTCTACCTCCATTATCTCTACCTTATCGTTGCACTTCTTCTTGGAGCTAAGCTCATACCGTACATCTAACTTTTGCTTCAAGTCTGCAAGCACGTTTTTCACTTCATTTATCTAGAATGCAAACATTCATGTATGTCCACCGTCTGTGTGCGACAGCGATACGTCGGGCAGTGCTGGGTGTCATGGTGTATAGGAAAATGCGCCACTTCTTACCTGATCGACGGTCGTGCTCGTGGCGTAGGCCGTGGACTTGTGACTCCTCTTCAGCCACTCGACCGCGTCCAGCCACCTCTTCGTGAGGATGAACGCGGTCTCGTCGTCCCCCTGCTTCCTCGCCAGGTCCGCCTTCTGCCGCATCGCGGAGAGCCTCTGGTGCACGTTGCGCGGGTCCTTGCCCGCGAAGTTGATCTTGGCCTTCTGCACGAGATCGTTGACGCAGGTGTACGTCAGCTTCGTCGCGTTCGACATGTCGCCGGCCGTGTCGTCGTGGACTCTCTCTCTCTCTCGTTCTCTCTCTCTCTCTCGTCGGGGATCACTCGGCGGCGAGACTCAGGGGAACCACTATCCGGTGCAACGTACGCGACCGCGCAAGCAGCAGCTCTCCGCTGTCACGCGCGAAGGGATATAAAATGTCAATCGCCTAATCGACTTACAATTAGGACCGCGACATCACAGTGACATTGCGGAGCCCGCGACAATTCGGACGAAGGCGGGATGTCGCGAGGGCCTTAGTAGGAGGGGGGAAGAGGGGAGGGGGGAGGATGGTGCGATCGATCACCGCGTGTCGCCGTCACGTCATCGGGAGAAGCCTCTCTCTCGCGATGTCCAAACGTAAGAGACGAATTCCTCCGAGCTCCCCGTCTTCACCACCGCGAATTCGCACTCCGAAGCGGAAGCGGGGTTCCCAACGCGACAATACCCAGCGATTCACTGGCGGTTGCGGGGTTCGAGGTGGAAGCTAGTTCAAGGTGCGCCCAGAAATTGTAGATGTCAGCCGCGCGCGCCGAGGTTAGCTCAGGCAGATGTTAGGTTAGCTGCTGCCTGCTCGTCGGATAATAAATAAACGACGATCCTCCAATGCGGCAACTTTGCCAACTGACCCTTTTGCGTTTTGTGTTTGCCAGCACTGGCAGTTTATAATCGGAGCCAGCGCCAAAGAGGATCCTGAGAGCGGCCATGCCCGCGATTTAGCTGCGATGGACGATTGAGCTGGTTTCAGCGCCTCTGGAAAGTGGACATTGAACTACGTAGCCAATGTCCACGAT